CAGAGTTGAGAGGGTTAGATTATGAGGAGAGACTGAGTAGACTGGGATTATACTCATTGGAATTCAGAAGAATGAGGGGAGATCTTATAGAAACATATAAGATTATGAAGGGAATAGATAAGGTGGAGGCAGGGAGGTTGTTTCCGCTAGCAGGTGAAACTAGGACTAGAGGGCATCGCCTCAAAATAAAGGGAAGCAGATGTAGGACTGAGGTCAGGAGGAACTTCTTCACCCAAAGGATTGTGAATCTGTGGAATTCCCTGCCCAGTGAAGCGGTTGAAGCTACCTCGCTGAATGTTTTTAAGGCAAGGCTAGATAAATGTTTGAACAGTAAAGGAATTAAGGGTTATGGTGTACGGGCGGGTAAGTGGAGCTGAGTCTCAAAAAAATCAGCCATGATCTTATTGAATGGCAGGGCAGGCTCAAGGGGCCGGATGGCCTACTCCTGCTCCTAGTCCTTATGTTATTATGTAAAAATCCAACCATAATCTCTAAAATAAATCCTATAAGGAATTCAGATGGAACTTCTTTAATCAGAGAGTAGTTGGAATGTGGAGCTTGCTATCACAGGGAGTATTTGAGGCACAAAGGAAAGAGGGATTGAAGGGGAAGCTAAACAAGTGCATGGGGGGAAAGACTTCAAAGGAGATGTTGATAAACTCAGATGAAGTAAGGTGAGAAGAGGCTTGTGTGGATAAACAGAGTAGATCTGCTGAACTGAATAGCCTGTTTTATGATCTAAATGCTCTGTAATTTAATGTAAATTTTTAAGACATGGCAGAGTGTAAATGTGTCATTTACAATTAGCACTATACATCAAATTACATTGACCTAACTGACACATAGCACATTTATCTTATCAAAAGCCAATAGCATCAACAGAGTTTATTAATATCCAAAGCCTAACTGGTAATGTTTCAGATATAGAAATTTTGTTTGTTTTAAGAATAGATATTAATTATGCCAATAAAATTGAGTTTGTTTTGAAGACTACAAACCAATCGTTCATTACATGTGAGCATTTTACAAAGCACTGCAATAGTAACCTGTGACAGTCATCAGAAATACAGTTCCCAGAACAATTTTTAACAAATTTCCCAGTAAGCTCTGCTCAGGGTTGTCTGATTCATGTGTGAACTGTCAGTTCTGCAGGCAGGGAAGGTAACATTCCCGGAGAAACAGAATCCTGTAGATCTTTTCATGTGAACCCAATTATAATCTGAAGGAAGAGTTTGATGTGAGGGTTTTCAATGCAGGCATTAATTCATCTGGCACCCTGCAGCTGGAGGCTCAGGAGATTTTAACTGTTAGTGGGTGTGGGATTTTTGCAAGCGCAAGGACGGGAAGGGACACTTACCCTATGGCCACCTGGCTCACTCAATCATTTGTGGTGCTGAGGGATGAGTACAATAAAGAGGGTGGAAAAGTTGAGGGGAGGAGAACATCTGAGATTTATTTTTGAAAGCTGGACAAGTACTCCAGCTCTGCCTGGCTCAGCAGAAAACCTTCAAAAAATGAAAGTTAAATTGTAAATTGGCGTCTTTTGGTCATGATCCCACCAGTTGCTGTCAGTTCTTAGTGTAGATCTGCCCACTCGTACTGCCAACCCTTACTGCCTGTACCTACTGCCCACTCTTCCTGGCAGCTCTGCTACTGCACAAGCGATCATTGATCTCCAGTTAAAATCTCACACGGGTCTAGTTGACATAATTGGAGCATAATTTTGACATTGTAATTAGGGTCCTGCTTAGTTTCTTGAAACAAGTATTTGCACTGAATGAAGCAGCCAGTGGAAATAGTTCAGGAGATCACAAACTCAATATTAAATCCTCCTATGTACCTTTCTTAGTACTACAATTGGGTTAAAATGAGTAAAGGAACTTGATTAATGCTAAAGCCACACTCTCGACCATGCTGTGATCAAAATACAAAGTTATTTCTCCATTTTTCTGTACTTACCCATTTCCTGATGCTGTGTATAAAGGTGGTGAAGTGATAGTTGAGTCAATGCAGAGAGAACTAAAGTAACCCTCAGTAACCGTGTTGTGAAGTTTAACTGTGGTATCCCTAATAAGGACTAGCTTTAGTATCCCTGCCCAAAATAGAACTGGCATACAGTAACCCAATCTCTTAGTTTGATATGACCCTTTACAGCTGGTAATCCCATTGAATGTCCGCTGCCAAAATTCCAAGGTAGAGTTTCACATGTTGCCCATTGAGGTGAGGTATTTTACATAACATAAAACTATTTGTGATATCAACACATGATGTTCATTGGTCCTTTAAAAGTGAGTTTATTTTTAGTTAATTTTGACATTAAATGATTCTACTTCATGAATCACCTAAAGTAAAATAAGCAACTAAATACTTTAACAAAAATTCCAAATTTAAATTAAGAGCTTTTCTAAATTTTTTGGAAATTGGGAAGTGAGCTATGATCTCTTCTCCATCTGTAGACTCAGAGACAGAAGCTGTTAGACAGCACTTTTCTGTCCTGCACCCACAGGAATTTATAGCCAGATGTTTCCTTTAACCTGGAGTCAGTCAGGTCAGATTCAGGAGCTCTCAGGCTCAATGTTTGATCTTCGTTGTGTCAAGTTGGACTTGCTGAGTGGAAGGTGTGATTTGTTCCAAGAGGGAATCCAAGGGGAACCATTTATTGTCACTTATTGTCAAAGGGGGAACTTTGGTGGATTCTTGTCGGGAACTTAGATAAAGTGGTGACAGCGGAAATGAAATGCAGATGAAAGCCCTGCCAACGACCATGACGGGAATCTTCAATTCAGGAAAAAGGAGGCTATGACAAACATTAGTGTGGATGTTTGCATGAGAACAAAGAAGGAAGATGGAGGAATTTGATGAATGGAATTGAATCTTTACAGGATGCAGGTTTGAAGGACATGTAATCAAGGTAGGTGTGGAAAACACTGCTTCTTATTGATTGACCAACGTCATACTATTGAAGATGAGCTGAAAGAAGATAGTCACAAGAGCAAATAACATCTGTTTCCTTTTGAAGTTTGATAATGCTTCATCGTGCCTCACGATCATTAAATATGATTCAGTCACTCTTCTTTGATCACCAATGTGTTCTAGACTCTGAGCGGTAATCCCCATTTCCCATAGGCTTCAGAAACTTAGACAACCCAGAGGAACTTCAAAGAACTGGAGAAGTACCATCTTGCGTTCATAAGATGCTCCAAATCCAGTGGCAAGAAACATAATCAACAACTTGCCCATTGAGGCGCTAATCACTCAAAACCAGCTCTGCTGGATGGGATATGTCATCCATATGTCTGACACCAGCCCACAAAGCAACTGTTTATTTGGAATAGGATTGTGACAGGAGACTTCCATTAGAAATGTTCTCGAAGTATCAAGAGATCAGAAATTCCCACTGAATCATCCAAGTCCCTGGCTTGTGACTGACCAAAATGGAGAAGGATTTCTCAGTAAAATACCAAACAGATCGACAGACTTTCTCAGGAATGTGTGACAGTGAAGTCAAAGCATTGGAGAGAGTGCACAAACCTCCAAACGTTCCACCTACCTGACTCTTCAAGCATTACAAAGAGAAGATGGCACGGAAAATTCTAAACTCAAAAGGCAAATTAAAATAAAAACAGGAGATGGGAAACGAGTGGTTAATTATTTAGGTTCAGACAATTGTCAGAAATAATGAACAAGGTCTCCCTGCAAAATGGTAGAAACATTGATGTAATTTATGTTGTATATTTCAGGCTGTCTCAAAGTGCTGCACAGCCACATAGCTGCTTTGAAGTATAATGAAGGTAACACAGCTGTTAACAAATCTCAGAAACTGCAATGGAATGAATAACCCATTAAAGTGGTTTAGTGATATTAGTTGGGGGGATAATTTGGCAAGGGCACCGGGAAAACTCATCTATTCTTCTTCAGAAAGTACCATAGAATCTATCTGAGAGGGCAGGCAGGATCCCATTTGATGTAAGTCCAACAAATATACCCTAGATTTTCAGCATTTGTACTTTTCCATCGAATGATAAAGGAGCTTCCAAACCGTGTACTGAGGCAGTGCTGCATACTTAAGATAGCTACTTGTACGCTGTTCCATCCTGCAGGAATTATTACAAATGTGCCCACAAGATGGCAGTTCATTACAGCAATTTCTGCTATTTAAAGGTTGTAGGAATCTTAAACTGAAACAATTTTAAACAGTTAGTAACATCAGCGCTAATTGGAAAAAAAACAAAATGGTAGTGATTTTGTAAATGCAACCAACTTGTTTATTGCCAGTTTGTAAACAACAATGAACTGATGCATAGTGGCACAAGAAAATCTGTTGTAGAATTCTATCAGCAGAATAACCAAGATTAGTGATCTGGTTAGAAATATGGATAGAAATATGAAACTTGATTGGCAAAATGGATTTAAACAATTCTGAATTCAGTATAGAAACAGTAGAATTTCTTACTCAGTTGTTTAGAAACACAGAAAATAACAACGTATGCCTTGACTTATGCTTCTGCTAGTGTGACATGACCTCCTCCAAAGTAATGGTGATATAACTGAAGCCATATGCTGTTCAACTCCCTATTGTTGACAATTCTGTTGTTCACCGCTAACACAAGTAATACTTCATGTATTTCAAAACATGCAAAATTATATAAATTTAGTGAGAGTTTATCTGCTCATTTCTACTGGCAATGGTAATTTCTACCTCCTTCAGGTCAAAGGTTTAGGAGCACAAACTGGTGAGCACTTTGCTGTGAAATCTCTGCAGCTGATCGAGGGGAAAAGGATGGCCCAGACCACTGACATCTTTTGGCGCCTCTCCTGGGGTGATTATCATGATTTGGATATTCATCGATCTCAATGGCTACATTAAAACTCTATGAGCTGAATCTTAGTTATTCTGGCTAAATATCACTTGCATAGAGTTTTTGTGAAGGGTTTTTCACTGTGAGGCCTAGAACAATTTCTCGCCATATCTTACCAAACTCACCTCATTATTTACCTACTTGGCTTCTATGGTATCCCTGTCATCTGATTCTCGTTCCATGTGACCATGTGCCATTCCCACAACAACTTGCAGATCAGAGGATATCTGGCGATATTGGATTCCTGGTGTCCATGCCATATTTAAACAGCCACTGTGCACCCGGACAAACACCGGCATTCTGAAGATGCCCTCTTTAGTAACATACATTAAGTCAGAAGATGTCAGAGATGGGGAAGATGGTTCTACGACTCTCTGACAGTGACCTGCAGATCCTAAAGATGGGGCTGGTGCAGAGAAGGTACATCCTCTTCTGGAAGGACTGCTAGACACTGCCAGCCTGGTTTGTGGTCACCACCAGGGTCTGTGCAGTCTCCAGTGCAGAGGAATGGACAGCAATGTCACAAGAAGATAAATGATCATCTCCACTCAGCCAGGGTAAATGCCACACTCTTCACTCCCTCACATTCACTCCATCTCTGTTACAGCAACCACCTCCTACTACGGCTCTTCTGTCATCCTTTGCACACCATTTCTAAACACTGGCCGTGATGTCTCTTCTCCCTTGTGTCTGGATGCTGTAAATCAGGAACAAAAACAGAAGATAGTTCTGACGAAGGGTCACCAGACCCGAAATGTTAACTCTGATCTTTTTCTTCACAGGTGCTGCCAGATCTGCTGAGCTTCCAAACTTCTATTTTTATTCTCAATGTCGAGTTTGTTCAGTGTGTTTGGTAAGATAGGAAACTGTATGTTAACAAAACATTTAACAAGCAATTATCCCCTTAATTGGTAATTCGCCGCTTTCAAGCAAGAAATCTAACTTGACACGTGGTGGGTTCATAAAAAGATGCAGCTAGTTGCTTCTGAAGTTAAGATAGGCCTCGTCGGACTTCTCCCGTGATTCTATCATGATTCTTACCATAGTCCATGTCATTCAGGTCTCTATAAGATTCCATCCCAGGTGTACATTTAATCCCTATTGATGTTGTGATCGACATGTTCATTAAAGTTAAACACAGTCTACTGGCACAAGAGTTTGCTTTCAAAATAAATCACCAATAACATGGTGGTATAATATAAAAATGCAACGATAGTGCTGTTCACTATCTTAAAACATTGACTAAACAGGTAACAGGATAGAAAAAAACACCTTCTGATGTTGTTCAATAGGAATCAACTACAAATGGATAAATGCTCCAACACATTTGATACTGCTGATCAATTCATTTCACACAGGGTGGTTAGCAGCTTGTGAAACATTGTCAATGGTCTGCACTGCAGCTTCAAAAGATTTGGGGGCATAAAATTTTAATTCTGTTCTTTTGTTTGACAGTGATTGACAGACAGTTCAGATGCTTTATTGGGCAGCTGTATAAAATAATAACAGATTGAATTTATTCACATTTAATTCTGCCTCACTCTCCCCTTCCCCTCCAGACTATAAACAAAGGGAATCTTCATTGTGAAACTGATGGTGCTCGAGGATGCACCGGGATGTTGATGGGGATTTAGATAGTGCTGGTGACCAGAGAGCCACTCACCTACCTCAAAATAAAATAAAAATCCAATGCAAATCTGCAGGAACACCTGAGATATGGAGAAAGCCTCCTGTAAATGTGTCACTCCAACTGTGTAGGTCAGCTCCTTATGTGTCCTTCATCAATTTGTAAATTTCACCCATGAAACGGTGGCAACTGGCAGTGAAATGTCTGGAATTCTGACCTTTCAAGTAATGCCTTTCAATTGCATGTGTGCACTGCTGAAAGGAAAAATGAACAAATGGACTGGACAGTTCATCAAAAAGCAAAGGAGGCATAAATTTGTCAGGAGTACCGCACAAGTCAACATCAAACTGGAAATTTTGTTATCTTGTCAAAACCAAACTGGGATTTGGTCCCATTAATCTTCATTTATAAAGCTGGCTTTCTTGCAGTTTGCATTTGCTGAATGTGAGTCTTCAGATTCCCACAAGTGCTTCCTAGCCACAGATTTCAGCCCTTACCGCTCACTATGAGGTTGAACCAGAAGATATTTTAATCAGAAAGGCAATCAAGGGTTATGGGGAAAAGGCAGGAAATGGAGTTGAGGATTATCAGATCAATCATGATCTCATTGAATGGCAGAGCAGGCTTGATGGGCTGTTTGGCCTACTTCTGCTCCTAAATCTTATGGTCTTGTGATCACTCATAATCTTAGCCTAGCCTGAGCAGATCTACTGACCACTTTATCACTGAAATCACCTACTTCAATCTCTGGTGGGAATGTGTTTTGTGAAGATAATGCAAAGAGGCTTTAAGAGGGTTTGTACAAGCTGAGACTGGGTAAGGACATTGCAGATAGGACATAATGTGGATAAGAGTGAGGTTATCCATGTTGGTAAGAAGAATGTTTCTTAAATGTTGAGAGATTGGGAAGTGTTGATGTCTAAAGAGTTTATCTCATTATAAGTGAACATGAAGGCACAGCAAGCAATTAGACAAGTGAACAGTACATCAGAAATGGGCTGAAGAAGGGTCCCAACCTGAAACGTCAGCTTTCCTGCTCCTCTGATGCTGCCTGGCCTGCTGTGTTCCTCCAGGTCCACACTGTATTATCCATAAACTTCAGCTCATTCAAACCTCTGCTCCTTCTATCTCTGATTCACATAAAGTCGTGTTCATCCATAGCTCTGCAATTGCTAATCTACAAAGGCTCCCTCAAATCTAAAATTCTCAGCTTTGTGTAATCCACCCCCTTAGTTTCATCCCTTTTGATCTCTGTAACCTCTAACAACTCTAAAATTCTCTAAAATGCCTACCCTCCTTCTATGCTGGTCTTTTGTGTGTCCCTCATTTACATTACACCATTATTTGCCTTCAGTCGCCCAGGACATAAATTTTGAGTTTCTCCCACACTCAGAATTCCCATCAGATCTCTAACTGTTTCTTCTCCTCTAAGTTGCTCCATGAAACTTTCGTTTCTGACGAGACTTTTGGACACTTGTCCTTTAAGTGCATGTGCTTTACTACATTAAAGACACTGCCTAAATGCATGTTGCTGTCGTCATTTCTTGGTTATCTTCATTGTGGTCTTAATTCCCTCTGAAAATGATAATCTTCCTTGTGGAATGCAGTATCTGGAATTCTAGCATGCAACATGTAATCATAATCAAATAGTGCAAGTTTCCAGCAGAAACTTTCAAATATCTTTCAAAATTGTTGCTTTTCAGGAGGTCAATAACCTCAATCAGGGAATGGAGGCAGGAATGCAGAGAAATTCTCCTTTCCAAGCAATTCCCCCTATTTTTTGGAAGGTTGGAAGGCACAGAGCTTTTTAAAGGTTTAATATGTCATTTTATTAAGTTCTTCCAATGTGCCCTATATTTAAATATTTTCCAGCAGTATAACTTTTTACAATCATTCACCATACATTTAAATTAGTAACTTTACTAATATAGAAGAAAAGATTTCACACAATAAACTATTATGTTTAATCAGTTTACCAGTCACAGTTTAACCCCTGGTGAACAAACAGGAGGCTGGAAGAACACAACAGGCTAGTTAGCATCTACAGGAAAGGAGCAGTCAACATTTTGGGTATCACCCTTCTTCAGGGCTGGATACGGGGGTAGGGTGAGCTGCAGATAGAGCGGGGTGGGGAAGGGGTGAAGGCAGAATAGTGGTGATATGTGGACACTGGTGGGAGATGGTAGGGATGAATCCAGTTGGTGGCTGGAGAGGAGAGTCAGAAGATGGAATGGAAGGGAGGAGGTGGAGCTAGAAGGGGAGGCAGGGGATGGTTGGCAAGGTTATTTGAAATTGGAGAACTCAATGTTGAGTCCTCCAGGCTGTAGGGTGCCCAGGTGGAAGATAAGGTGTTGTTCTTCAAATTTGTGATGTGAGTCGCTGTGACACTGGAGGAGGCTGAGGACGGACATTTCGGAGGGGGAATGGGGCAGGGAGTTGAAATGGGTGGTGACCGGGAGGTTAGGTTGGCTGTTTAAAGCCAGGCAGAGATAATCAATGAAATGGTCAACTAGTCTACGTTTGGTCTCACCAATGTAGAGAAGACCATATCAGGAGCACCGGATGCCATAGACTAGGTTGGAGGAGATGCAGGTGAAGCTCTGTCTCACTTGGAAGGACTGTTTAGGGCCTTGAATGGAGGTGAGGGAGATGGTGTGTGAGCAGGTGTTGCATCTTGTATGGTAAGCAGCCCTTTCAAGTGAGACAGAGCTTCACCTGCATCTCCTCCAACCTAGTCTATTGCATCCATTACTCCCGATGTGGTCTTCTCTACGTTGGTGAGACCAAATGTAGACCACGTGACCGTTTCACTGAGCATCTTTGCCTGGCCCGTAATGGCCAACCTAACCTCCCGGTCATTGCTCATTTCAACTCTCCACCCCACTCTCCCTCTGACATGTCCGTCCTCAGCCTCCTCCAGTGTTACAGAGACTCAGAATGCAAGTTTGAAGAACAACACCTTATCTTCCGCCTGGGCACCTTATAGTCCTGAGGACTCAACATTGAATTCTCCAATTTCAAATAACCTTGCCACCCATTCCCCACCTCCGCTTCTAGCCCCACCTCCTTCCTTCCAATCCACCTTCTGACCCTCTCTTCCAGCTCCCAACCAGATTCATCTCACCCATCGACCAACCAGGTTGTACCTACCACCAGTGTCCACATATCATCATTATTCCGCCTCCACCCCTTCCCCCCCCCCTTTATCTGCAGCTCCCTCTACCCCCACATCCAGTCCTGAAGAAAGGTAATACCCAAAACATTGATTGCTCCTTTCCTCCAGATGCTGCCTGGCCTGCTGTGTTCTTCCAGCCTCCTGTTTGTCTACCTTGGATTGCAGCATCTGCAGTTTTTTTTTTGTCTCTAACAATTTAACCCCTGCTTGAAACCTAACTCAGAATAAATTTTACAGCAAAGATCCCAGTTATGTGATAATTGCATCAGTATTTGCCTAGAACATCTTTATCAATAATCAAAAACATTAAGCTTTAATACAACTGCAAAATCAAGCTGTACAATTAGCAACATCCACAGGACAACTGGTTCCCAGCCACCAAAGAGCCATAAAGCAAGAGTGAGAGAAACAAAGAGAGAGATAGAGAAAGGTAAGATGAGGTTTGTTAAAAGTTGGATTGATGGAAAGCCTGCATGACCCTGAATGAGCACAGGAGT